CACTGCTCACCAAAGCACATCAAGTTTAACTGGCGTAATGCAAAACGCCTCAGTCATTCTCTTAGTGAGTGAAAAGATCCCTGATTTGTTATCATGGGATACCTTTCACATCACCAGAGCTCATACAGATACAGCTCTACCCCCCTCTGCTTCCAGGCACTGGGCAAGGCCACCACCTGACTGCCAAAGTAAAAATGGTGAGAGGAGTAGCAACAACAGGGCAGGAGAAAGAGAAATAGAGCCCAGAGAGTCACCTAATCTATGCCTTCTGCTATCTTCTGCCCGTGGCAAAGCAACTCTGCACTTCCCACTCTTCAGGCAAGATGCAAGATAAGCACTGGGAAATGGATGCTTTCAGCTGAATCCCAAGTGAACGTGCAAAGATGATCTAAAACTCGTCTGCCTGCAGAGGATTCTCCATCACTTATGGACACCTCACACACACCCCTGGCCTATACAACAACCCCTCTTCAGTACAGGATCAAATGTGTTGTATGCCCTTTCACAGCAAGCAACCACATGGCTCTCCTTCAGACTGCAGTTCTTGAGAACTATTAACGTACACCAACAACAGACAAAGTGCATAATTTTATGGGGTGGTACCACATAGTGAAATCCAAGGTCCTCACTTCAGCAGTAAAGTTCATGCTGGCCACAGAAAGATTTATTTGGAAAACTTTCACTGAAAACATGCAGTGGAAATATTTTCCATCCAGCTGACCTTGGAGAGTGTGTTCAACAACTAACATAAAATAACAAGCTATTATTAAAAAAAAAAAGTTAATTCTATGTCTGACATACAGTTTGTTTAAAGTACCTTGAGAACCATGATGGAAAAGCTTTCCACAAGATGCTTATCAGAGCTAAAGTTAGACAGAACTTGCTATCTGCCCAACTCCAGACTTACTTTTTACTCGGTGAGCATTAAACACTGTGCAATGAGTCTATGTTTATAAATTCAGCAGTTATATAACATCTGTGCACAGGGCACTGTGCAGCCAGTACAAAGAGCGAATAAATAAAGAGGAATTGGGAATTCCAAGAGCAGCTGACATGGTTTAGGAGCACCATGGGACTTGAACTCATAAATCACTTGGGCCCTTTAAAAATGCTCCTCTTAGGACACAGACTCTCAACTCAGTGTGGAGCAGTTAAGAGAACTATTTTTCCCCTCTCCAGTTTTAGAGTCAGCCTATGTCGGGATAGCCACTACTTCCACAGCTCTGCAAGAACACAATGTGCAAGAGCTCCCTCAACCCCACTGCTTCCCACACAAGCGGTCGTCCTCGCTGGCTGGCTGTGGTGCTGCTGAGGCTGACCAACAGCCACCAAATCCTCCCCAGCAGTTAAGGTGGTGGCCGCCAGGTGGTGGGTGATGATGACAAGTGCATGACAGCAGCGCTCTTTCCAACTATTACACCCAGGTTCAAAAGACACTGGCTGTCCATGCTCTTCATCAATAACAATCTCAAAGACCCAGCTGGGTCGTTGAGATTAACTGGATCGTCTAAGATCCCTCCTCCTGCAAACCGCCAAATAGTTCTGGTACCTTTTTTCCTCAGTAGACTAAAAGACAGGTTTTTTTACTGCTGTCAAAATTATACAGAGCAGTTTACAACTATAGCTAAGTATAGGCTAAGAACACACAAAACAGGTACTGTACTATAAGGGTATAGGTGAACAAAGAAGGACTGTAAGTATGATTTCACTGAAAGCAGTTATCAGCCTGCAAATTGCTTCTGATATTATTGTTGTGGAAAGCCAAATCCAGCTATAACTACACTGTGGTTAACCATAATCAACATAGGGAGGGAGCTGGTTAGGAAATTCCCTATGATACTTGTCTCACTTTGATCTTTAAGGGCTCTCTAAATAGACAGTGTGCCTGTGAAGTACAGCAGGGATATGCATATATGAAGCAGGGTCATGTCAATCAAGAAAAGTCAAGCTAAACAACTAGTTTTCAAACACCATCTCATCAAACTCTCCAACAATTCTGAGCACAGGCCTATTCATGACATACAATGGCCCCACGCATCTCTGCCTGATGGAAAATGAGTTGGGTGAAGTTTCCCTATGCTATAACCACAGCCTGTAACAGGCCAAATCTCCAGTCAATTGAGTCACGGTGTCCCTCACAGAAATCAATACCCCTGCAGAGATTCACTCTGGTTAGGAAACAACTTCACCCTTCCCCAGCAATGGTGGCTTCTGGTTTATGCCCAGAGAACTCCTCCAACATTGCAGGGCACATTCTCCAACCTCCCCTACCTCTGCCCAGCTTCCACTGAGAGCATAGCTGAAACGAGCAGGTTACTGCTCTCAAAAACTCAGCCACAAAGCAGCCCCAGATCAGAGCAGTCCTATCAGCTGCAGGTGGGGCACTGTGTGTAGCAGCAGAAGGTACCATCCCTCCCATGCCTGTTTTGCTCATTGCATTGCTGTGACACCATAGCTGAAGCAGAATACAGCTCTACGCATTCACCAGAAAAAATACAACCTTCCAGTGGGGAATATTCTCTACTGATCCCTCTTACGCTATTTTATAATTACATTGTGCTGTTTTTTGTGATATACAGAACATTGTTCGACAGATCAGAGAATATAAATCTTCGTCTACCTTTTGTCTCTTCCAAGCTGTTTCCAGTTCCAGTTTAAAAACCTCTCCTCATCTTAAGCAGATCAGTCCCTTTACATAGGGTTAACTCACTACACTTAAAAAAGCTATGAGGGAGCACCTAGTCGTCTGGACAAGAGCAGCTTGGCAGGGAAGACTACGTTGCTCTATTTCTGCGTAGCCAAATCTCACTAGATATATTGCACTATTTGGAAAAGTGCTTTTAAAAAAACCAACAAACTTTAATGCCAATTATGCCTTATTATTTTTAAGTCATTCTCAAAATTACAATGCGATGCAGTAGGTCGTTAAATGATGTATGTTTCTTCTCTCCAAAGCCAGGCACAAATTTCTTTGTAGTACTAACTCTTATACTGAGAATAACAGAACTACAGATGGAGCCATGCAGCTCCCGCAGCAGAGTAAAATGACACTAAATATCGAAGAGAAACATTCACTTTACCTGGTCTGGTCAGTTCACTAAAGAGCTGAAGTAGAAAACAAGGATCATAGAAGTCATCAAGACTCTCGACACTTTCATCTCTATATAGTGACACGTGTACTTCCTGAAACCAAATCCAAACCAGTATTTGTAAGGAGCAACACCAACTTCCAGCTTGGTTTCAAACTTCCCCAACCACCTCATCCCATTATAAAGCAGCTGATACCAAACATTGCAAAATATAATGCAACATCGGGTGAGACATGCTGTGTTTAAATCTGGCTTTCACCATCAGGGTTCCAAAACTATTTCCCCTGACTAGTACAAACAGATATAGAAACATGTTAGCAAACTGTATGAAAGACCGAAGAGCCCACTGTCAGTGGATCCTTGGACAGTCAAATTTAACAACTGTTTAAAAGTCAAATTCTGGTCTCACTTACACATGGCAATCTTTGCAGTGCTGCACAATCACACCTGCCGACAAGATGTGGTCCATATATTGCAATTCATTTGAAAAGTGCTCCTAAATAATTAATTCCAGCCCTCCTATGAATTTAAATTACTCTCCTGATGTAAACAAATTGCAATATATTACACGAATGCAAGAAAGAAATTACTGAAGTGAAAGGCTCTTTTTCTACATCAAAAGAAGGATAATTCAGCAGTCTGAACCAAAGCACCTGTGATGACAGGAGACGGCGATGCTGAGGAAAAGACAGAATTGTCTTCATCATCTTTTCTCGATCTAGCAGACACAGAATCTCCTCCATGCTTGGCTGCTGCCATAGTGACTTCCCTAGACTCTTACAAGTCTTGTGATGCTCCACAGCGGCTGGACCCCATAGCAGGATTCTTAAACATTGTTAAAAGTAAAGGCATTAGTCAACAGACTGCTAGCACTGAGCAAAAAGCAATTACAGAGGATATAAATTAGTATTTAAATTTTCCCTTCACTTGTATTTATTATCCTGTGGGAACTTGAAACTAGAACTCGTTTCCCTGGCAACACCTTTTTCATCCATCCAAAAGCTTTTCAAATTCAGTCTGAAGGTGTCTCATTAACTATTTCCTACCCTGTTAATCCAAGTCAGAACCTACCTTCTCAGAAAAAATGCATTTTTATTTAAGCTACAAATGCAGGTAAGTATGATAGCAGCTGCATGAAGAGAGAGTGATCTAGACCTGGTCAGACAAGCTTGTCTCAAATGCAATTGATATTTCAAACCAGCATCACAGTGGTTCAGTAAAACATAAATCCTTACTCTCCCTCTCCTACTTGCTCCTTAGACCCCATTTACTTTGCTATTGTGCTTAACGTGCTATTGATATTGTCATTTATTATGTGGGTACTGCCAGCAGCATGCCTCACTATCAGTGAGGCAGCTGGAGGAATGGTGTTAGGCTTCTTATCACCCAGAACCTGAAGGCTGCCATTTGTAACACAAGCTGGGCTCTGCTGCGTTGCATGTACAGCACTTTTCATGAATGTTCTCTATATTCACTCAAACTCTTCAGTGCTGGGATCAAGTCTAACCAAGTGTCTAGCTACCAGTTCACTTCAGGGTACAGAATGAAATTGTTTCTCCTTTTAAAAGGCTGGGACCTAACTACCTCTGAAATTAGTCTCCTCCTCACATAACACCCTCCCATTTGCAAACACTTTCAGTAAAGATTTATGCAGGATGCGGCTAGTGCCAGAGCCCTGGCTTGTGGAAGCCACTTCAATTCCCTGCTAACAAGAACCTTCATTTCCTGTCCCCCTTCACAGGCTGCAGTGATTATCTATATTCTCAGACAAAACTAAGGGAAGTTCTTAATTCAGAGTCCAGTCCTGCTCCAACTGCCTGAGCCAGTACTCTTGCATTGCTGTTAATATTTATGCCAATACCTCAAAGACAGAAAAGTGCATTTAAGCAAGGCAGACCAAAAACATCAGTGTATGTAACTAACTGTTAGGAACAGACTTCCCTGAGGACTGCTTGGGCACAGGGCCTGAAAAGAAACTGGTTATTTTACACAATACATGGTGCTCTCTTATGAAGCATATAGTTGTATTGCGCTATAAGGACAGCTACAGTCCAGACTGATGAAAGACAAGGAAGGCATTGATACCATGTTAGTACCCCAAAACTAACAATACATGTGTTAATGCAAGAGGTTATACGTCACTCCTCCACTGGCATATTCCTCTCCTCTCCAGCAAAGCACCAGAGCCAAATATCATGCATAGAGGGTCAAGATCATTGAAAAGGGCAAGGGCTGTGCTGAGTGGCGAATCCTGTATCCCAAGGGAAGAGGGAAGGGGAAGGAGTCCTACACTAGCAACTTGTGCTTTGGCCTTCACCTGTGATGAAATCCCTGTAGTGGGTTCTTACTATGGAGAATCAGGGACTACTGAAATGAGACAATCCCTCACCCAACCCACAGACACTCAAAAGTTTGGGCAACACACAAGAATTACGTTAAGAATAGAAATACATAGGAAAGCAACATTCACCTCTAGGTTTGACCTTGCTCACTGTTTATGTCAGTTAAAAATAAGACCCTGGAAAAATGCCAATTGTGAGACTGCTTATTTGTGTGTAGTTAGTCGAAAAAAGGAAGGTGGTCAGCCTACCTGGAATTTATAAGACTTTGATTATTCTTCTCATATAACTGAAGCAGTAGCAGTATCTTCTGATCTAAGAACGAAGAAGAAACCCGAAGTCACCACCTATGAAGATGAAAACCAGATCTAGTAGGAAATACCTTTCCCAGGCTAACACACTTACCTACAGCACTCAGTGTAGCCCCGTAGGCACCCAGCAACACAGCAAGGTGACTGCTCTCACAGAGAGAAGGGCTGAGTTTCACAACTGTCAGCAGTATATCCACCAAGGCCTCTGAAATAAACACACAGCTTTAGCTTTGTTGCTTTCTCAATTAGTGCGTATATAAATACCCACATGCATATACCCTCTCTAAACAGGTGCGCATACAGTACTGTACATTTTAGATCAAGATCTATCTCTATAAATACCAAAAACCATTTCCCTGACCACACTAAAGGATGATTACAATGCATTTAATTCAAGTGGAACAACTTTTTTTGAAGAAGTTAAAACAGTATTTCCAAGCTGGACATACAAATGTTATTGTGAGGTGAGGTCCACAATGTGGCACACTACCCTGCAGAATCTTTCCATGTGTACACATTTGCTCTCTGGTTAAAAAGAAGTGCTATACCCTATCCTACCATACTGCAGCTCCCTCCTTTCCCAGGAAGGCAGCTTAAATTAGCTCAGGAGTTGCACAGAGTAAAGGCAGACATCCCAGCAACCTCCCCAAGCTACTCAAGAAGTTGCAGCAAGAACTTTTAAATTCACACTCCAGCTGCAGTTATTTATCAAAATGCCTCTATACTGTGCATTTAAGCAGGGGTCATCACTGCAGAATCCAATCAGTCAGCAAGCTACAGCAAGCTCTGTCCTGGGGTGTACAAAAATTATCCACCTTTATTTTATAACTAGTTGAGAAACAGATCAAACAAGTGATCAAAGGCAAACAGGGTATCTGTGGCAGATTCAAGACCTGAATTCAGATTTCTTTACTCTCAGTATCTGAAAAGGCATGGGCTTTTCCCCCGACTATCTACAGGAATATAAAATGTATGTCAAAACAAAACAGATCATAAAGACAACAGCCTGAATGAATGCACTCTTGACACCACATTTCTGAATTAGTGAAGTTAGCCTCAAAGAATCCATCTTGCTGCTCTACAGAAATACATTCAAAAGATAAAACACATACAGCATGCAGCAAATCTGTTACTTATTTTTAATTTCACTAAATTTGTGACTTCACAAGAGCTTTTTGCTCTTTTCAGGTGATTTAAAACTTCAGTTTGTTTACATGATGCTCACCGATATACACAAAATTCGTTATCAAGATACTGCCCTGAGAATTTCCTCCCCTTTTCTTATACGGCTCCTTCAATCACTGAATCTCAAAGCCCTGTGCAGTGGGAAAAAGCTGAGGTGTATGTAGATGAAATGATTGGTTCAAGGTCAGGTAGTATTTCAGTTGGCAGTGACAAAAAAACCAAAGCCAATACTACACATGAACTAGCACCCAATTTATATTACTCATGGAAGGATATTCCTTGTGAAAGGTGGCAATATCAAATACACATTGATTAAATCAACATTTTTGATACAACTTGCAAAATCAACTTAAAATATTCTGTATCAATCTATTTTAAAATAGGTTTAAGCGTCACGCACGTTTCTAGCAGAACCTATATACATTTCAGTGACCTTACACTAACAGCCTCACAGAAACCAAAAGAATAAATTCAAGATTTCAACAGTTAAAAAACAAACAAACAGTAGTTTTAGAAAACATTAAGTGTTTAAAACTGGCAGCCATAAAATGAATGCAACATTTGGATCCAAGTAGAGGTAGAATTTAAAACTAAATGCTAATATTCTGGAATTGTTTAATAGCTCTGCAAGTACATGTAGGTGGATAGGTTACTGGATGGATAGAATATAATTCGAGAAAGACAAGATTACTAAATATAGTTAAAGGGAAGAAGAAGATAAAAACATACCTCTTGTCTGGATGTTTGTGCCATCTTCTTCTCTTGACCTCAGTATGGCTGACAAAAATAGAGAGTGCTGCGTGACCATCATATGAAGTTTGGAGAGTTTGACTAATCTCTGACTAAGTGAGGATTCTTTCTTGTATAATAACTGAATAGCAATGTTCAGGACTTTCAAAAATGCTTCATCTCTGTAGCGGTACCTTTAGAAGCAAGGATCACAGAAAAGTCAGACCCCAACCAGAAGGAAAGCTGCTTGAAAAAAAAAATCTGTTTAAGACATGAGAACTTTGCAAAGAAAGCAAATTTAGTAAAACCAAAACAAATTTAAAAAATTGACACACACCCACCGCTTTCCCTGAGCTGTTTAGATCCATTTTTTTTTAAGCTATACTGGTATCTTAATTATAGAAAAGAGAATCAACACACAGTCACACTTGTAGCTGCACTGAACTTAATAAGGGATTAGGATTTTGCCTAAAACCCTTCAGACAGCAACCCTTCAGATTAACACTTCTACCTCCACAGAAGCCAAGATTATCCTAAACTATTTTTCATTTCTTTTATTTAAATGGTTTACATTTAAAGGTAAAAGATCTGATTCTGTTTTCATATGAACTGTATTTAAGAAATACCTTAAATAAAAAGAAAAGAATTTATGAGCATAAATTCTTTATGCCCGTCAAAAAGAAGCTAGTTCAGCTATCTAGTTAGTTATGTTAGTTATGCTAACTGGAGCACAAAATCCAAATCTGCCTGCAGTTGCGCAGGTTCAGGCTCCAATGAAGCCAGTGGATGTGACATAAAGCACATCCTGAGAAACAAGGAGCATCGTCAAACCTGACTGAATTCAGGGGAGAGAGGATGTTTCCAGCATAATGCAGGACAAGGCCAAGTGAACAAAACTGTACCTCCTACAGCAGCTTTGGTGCATCTCAAAATTACTTACTTGAGTCCCGCCTTCACAAGGCTGTACCACTCATCTGGGTCCACTTCTTCAACAAAGCGCTGCGCACGCAGTAAGTAAAAACAGAGGTTTACATTTAGCACATAGAGCTTCTACAGATCATAGAATCATAGAATCATAGAATCATTAAGGTTGGAAAAGACCTCTAAGATCATCAACCGTTAACCCAACACCACCATGCCCACTAAACCATGTCCCTAAGCGCCTCATCTACACGTCTTTTAAATACTTCCAGGGATGGTGACTCCACCACTTCCCTGGGCAGCCTGTTCCAAGGCCTGACCACTCTTTCAGTAAAGAAGTTTTTCCTAATGTCCAGTCTAAACCTCCCCTGGCGCAACTTGAGGCCATTTCCTCTCGTCCTATCGCTTGTTACTTGACAGAAGAGACCAACCCCCACCTCGCTACAACCTCCTTTCAGGTAGTTGTAGAGCGCGATGAGGTCTCCCCTCAGCCTCCTCTTCTCCAGGCTAAACAGCCCCAGTTCCCTCAGCCGCTCCTCATGAGACTTGTTCTCTAGACCCTTCACCAGCTTCGTTGCCCTTCTCTGGACACGCTCCAGCACCTCAAGACCAGCAATTTTTGTTCAACAGACACACTAACAACATGCAAGCCAAACACTCAGATGGGACAATCAAAGGACAACAGGGAAGAAAGCTCTTGGATACAACAATCCTACCTCCCGATTCAAATGAAACTGCAAGTCTTGTTTTGTTGGTCCTGGGAGCAAAAGGGAGCATATGGACTGTATGCAATTAAAAAGCAAGCTGGTCTGTAGGTACCAAAAAACCCGGAGTCTTGAAACTCTTCACACTCCCCAGGCTTGAAAGGAATAAAAAGTCGGCAAGTCAAAGCAAGAGACTGCCTCTCAGGTACTAGGTGTTTGTGCACTTCCAATGTGCTTAGGCTAACCAACCTCTGCATGTGGCAAACAGATATGATACCTGGGTGAGCTGGGTGTACATGTTCTTTGCAAAAACCGATCTTCCCTGAAATGCTATAAACCACAATAAACAACAATCAGTTTTAAGAAGACTGACAGCTGCACATGCCAGCAGTCCCGGTAATGGTAGATGCTAACCTCGTCAGGCCTGCAACACCATCAGGATGAACCTGAGGTGGCCCCTCAGGTCCTGCAAGATTCCCGTCCTGCACAGTCAGTCATGTCCTAAAATGGAGTCTTGCCAGAAACCATAAAGAGGTCAAAGGCAGACTGCAAGTCTGCAGAGACTTTCATTTGTATGTCTTACATGGATCTGCCTACCTTACTGAACTACAAAAAAAACCAGTAGTACAGAGATAATGATCAAGTAGTGTTCTTTATGATCAAAGTCCGGATTTCTATCTATGATCAACTGGATTTCTGCCACAGACCTCAGAGGGCATGGCAGGTGGGTCTTGTCGAAAGTGTCTCTATCACTCTATCTTTTTTTTTTTTTTAAATAAAAACATCCACTGGTAACCTTTGGTTTTTAACTCCTGAACACCTCAAACTCTGATTTTCAAACGGGACTGTTAGCAGAAAGCCATCATCAAGAATAACTCAAAACTGCTTCTCATGAAGGATTAGCAGGACTAAGTTAACTCTGTAAAAGCTATTAAAAGCTCACAGAAGCCATAATCTATAAAACAGAAAATAAAGTCCAATCTATATTTACCCAAGATACAAGAGCACAGTAACACATATGCACACAGTCACATTCTGGCAATACAGATAAAAAGAACTCTCACCAATAATTCTTCTAGCCTCAGCAGCATGGACCTCTCCACTTCTTGCTTGCTTTCATTTTTACAGATGTTGTACATGACAATTAACTCCTTCATGCAGGCTGATAACAGGCGTCTCCTCCAGGAATGCAGCTCTTCGGAGTTTTCAAGCACTCTAGATATGGCATCTGCCACTGTCCAACTGCAGAAAGATATTTATTTATTTATTAGTGTTATAACATGCTTTTTGTATATACTAAAGAGGTCCTGCAGACAAAGGTTAAAGTGACAGATTCTGAGGAGAGGATGCTATTATTGTTCACAATATTTGCACTCATGCATATCTATCACAATGCTTTATGGGACAAATGTAGTCCTGAAACAGCGCAACTGGATTTGCCTACCTCTCGTTACTTTCTGCTTTCTCAAGAGCAGCAGGAAGCTGGTCAATAAGGTTTCGCAGCCCTTTGCTTTCTGAAGATGGCAACAACTTCGAAAGAACTTGCAGTTTCACAGTGGTCTCATGAGATGCTTCTGTGTCTTGAAGTACACCACAGAGCTCCTTCCACAGAGCTTTCCTCAAGACAGGTATAACAGCTGAGACAACTGTTGGGAGGGAGCAGGGGACACAGGTTTCACCATCTAAGTGTGTTAAGCAACAACAGACTTATAATTACAAAAAATCCCAAATCACTTTTCTAATCAAGTTTCTAGGAAATTATACTACAGTAGCTGCTAACCTGCTACACAGAAGTGCACTCTATATTGCCCCATAGCACCATTAGGAAGTATTTAGCATATGTACCAGACAACCACTTGCTACACAGCTGAAACGATTAGACATGGGCAAACAATGCAGACCTTCAAAAGAGGGACAACTTCCTGATAAGAAGCCTTGTCCTTGCATCTCAGGAAGGATGAAACCTTACCAGTTCTCTGACTCTGGACTCAAAGGAAATTTTCTCTCACAGCAACAGAGAGCTAGCAGGTACCTTATAAATCAAATCAGTCAGATAGCAGTTTCCCTTTCTCTTCCCATCCTATACCTTCCTGTGTGCTGATGAAATGTTTTCACTACTTGAACCTCTCCTAGATAGAGCTAGCCTTCTCCACGAACCACTACAGTCAGTTTGTTTCTGTTGCTATTCACATTTCTATGCAATAAGAGCAATGAAATCAAAGTGATCCCGTTCTGTCGAGTTGAATCCTAACTAGTAGTTTTGCTGGTAGAAAATTTAACAGTCTTGTCAATTTAATGCTGCTGTTGGTTTGGAAAGTTTTGGACTGCCAGCTTAGGAAGGCATTACTGTAGGAAGCTATATTTGGAGATTTATTTTAGAAGAAAGTTTTGGACTCTTACACTTTTAAAAGTGAAAGCTTATGTTCTGCGAAACCATATGGTTATGACATTCCACTCACTAGACAGTGTTCTATCTATGCTCGAGAAAAAGTTTTTACCTCCTATACTAAACCAAGATAAGCATGAAGACAGATTTTTACATGCACTAAGTATTAAATAAGGGCTTCAAAAGAGAAAACTGGGCAACAGCAACTGTAAGAGTATTTTGCTTCAGTCTAACAGCCAAGCTTCATTACAGTCCTTTACCTTTTATGCTGCACAGGTGTTTACCAGAGAATCATTAAAAATTAAATAAGTAACTTTTATCACCTCTACTTATGGTGAAGAGGATCCATGATTTTAAGGCCAGCAGAGCCTATACTGAGAATCTGGCCTCCCAAATCATGCATAGAGATCAGTTGTGGCTTTACCTGAGGAAGGTCGGGTGAAATCATACTGGTCTCTGCATTGCAAATACACATTAATGAGTGGAAGAAAGCTCTCCATGTTCTTCCTGAGGTACTTTCCAGTGGCACTGTTCAGACACCACAGCTCAAACTGCAGCAGGTGAGTCCTACAGTGTTTCATCAGCATGCCCACAATGGCAAGGGAGGTTTCTGACCTCTGGTTAAGGCAGTGAACATGAACCTCTACACTGACTGCATGTGCAAGGACTGGCTCGCTTCGGAGAGCCTGAAGGAAAACTTTCTCTAAATCTTTGCTGGCTGATGCTGACATCAATATCCCCAAAGCTTTAATGTGCTCTGTGGATAGCAGTAGTTCTCCTTGTTGGGGCTGCCTTTGGTAGCTCTCTTTAAGGAGCTGCACCAAAATCTGTCCATAGAAGCTTAACCGTTTCCCTTTTTTAGGGGATTTTTCAGATTTCTGAGTAGTCAAGCTCATCTCAGGAAGTCGCAGCATGGTTAAAGTGATCTCCTTCAGCTGAGCTGCAGCCATGTATATGTACAACTCCTCCAGAGCCTCCAGCTGGTGAGACTTCTTGGGAGAGACCTGGCTTTTGTCTTTCCCCACAGCCTGTAGCTCATTCAAGACACTTTTTGTGACAGCTTCAAAATACTTCGATAACACATGTTTGTGATCCATCCTCTGCAACATCGGGGCACCCGTTTTCAACAGCTGGAGCACACCAGAATTGAGGTGAGCCGACAGGAGCTTCACAGCGACAGGGTTTAAACTGTGCTGAGGAAGAGAACGTTGTTCTAAAGCCAGGAACCAACTCTCCAGCGTAGGATGTCTGAAAATCAACATGAGTGTATCTTCTAGTGTCTGTAACAAATGGTTGTAACAGTATCACTGAATGGACAATTATAATTTGGGGGGCGGGAGGGGAGGTGGGCGGGGTGCAGAAATCATTCATCTGCCTATTTTCCAGAGCATGTTTATTACAATTACTGAACATGAAATTGCCTATTAAGTGGTCAGAGGGTAAAAATATTAATGAATTACAAGCACATAAATGCCATTCTTCCAACATTTACAATGTGGGAAGCACGCCTTCACTCAACATTCTCCACATGTCTAAGCACATTTCCAGGGGAAAACTGTATATTCTGGGGTTTGTCAATATGATTCCATTCTAACCTCCACAAATCCACAGAACAGATGAAAGGGGGGCAAAAATTCACTCCTCCGAGTACCTAATTTTCATAACCAGGCTTTACACAAGGCTTAGGGAATAGAATTTCTTTTGCAAAGGTGAGTGATCTCGGTCAGGACCTCTCCTGACTGTATTCCATCTCAGGGGTCAGACTGTGGATGATGCAGCTTGGTCAAATCTCCAGACAGTAGTTTTGTAACTGCTGGACCACATGCTCAAAGTTTGTAAGTCCTCTTCCTAGACCTTAACAGCCCCTCCCTGCATCAACCTGTTCCCATTCCATACAACTCTGTGAAATACACAGTGTATGATACCCTGTTCTCTCCCTGCCCTTCGGAGTACCTGACAAAATGTATAGCAATGCTTCTATAAAGCAGTAAAATCCTATTGAAGCCCTTACAAAGCGAGCATATGACAGATACACTTTAATCCTAACTGAAATCCCAGAAATCCTCATGACTATTATCAAGTCACAGCACTCACAAAGCCTGATCCTTGCTAGATCCCCTGTTCTCTGTCACATTTAGCCAGTTCCATGTTTGGTGATTGGTGAAAATATATCAACATAATTTGTGCAGAAAAATCGTTCACGTTTAAGATCATTTGCTTTAATTAATGGCTCAGCAAAACTAATGACTATTTCCCTAGAGAATAAATCAAATCAAAATTTACTAACAGTTGAGCTTCTGGCCTGTATATCAAGGGATTTGGTACCTTGTCATTTGAAGACTCCTCTGTAATCAGAGATTCCTCATCCATAAAGAGATCTGATTCAGTTTGATGCTCTTCTCGTTTCTGCTGATTATCCAACTCTATCTGATTTCCCCGGCACAACAAGCTGCTCAGCAGGTCCACATAGAGGTCAACAAGGTGAGGACCGAAAGTTTTACTAAGCTGTGAAAATACAGACACCTTGGAAGTTGAGAAAAGAGAAGAATGGGAGCAGAAGGATAATTATCCAACAGGAACAGAAATTAACTAAGAACTTCGTAGATTACAACCTTTTCTGGGGGAAGGAATCACTCCCCTCTGTAGAAACCTGATTTTAAGAGAAGTCTCAGGGTGCCAAATAGATATTTAGAGATTTTCATCTATACTGTGACTTTTGGTGTAACACAAGCCAATGAATTTCACTCTCTGGAGAGGCTTCTTATGGAGACCCAGGAGCTGGATTAAAATCTGGAGTTTATTTGCACTACACACAGATCAGTAAGGTAACCCATGCAAAGCAAATCCAAGCCGCCTCAACAATTAGAAGGATAGACATTTGTTTATAAATTAGGTGCAGGTTTGTCTGGTGCTTTATAACCTCAGTGAGAGCTGAGTACATGAAAAAGCTGCAGAACCGGATTCTTAAGTTTTAACAGCCAAATCATTTGTACTTGGTGCATTAAAATAAAACAAACAAATGTGCAATATCATCACAATATTGCTCTTACACTGCCAAAGTTCTCCACTGTGGATTTCAGGTATAGCAACACATGCTTTACTCCTAACAAAAGCTGTTCAGGCGGGAGCTGGGAAGCCAAGTCTCTCAATGTTGTCTGGATATCGTCTTCCAGTAAGGTATTGCTTCCTCTTTCATAGGCTGTCTTTAGCAAAGCGGTAAATACAGAATCCAGGGCCACAGCAGATTCTTTGCATACCTCTTTGCATTTTTTAAACTGTTTAAAATGGAAAAAAACGTAAAAGAAAAATGAAGGTTAGTATGACTCAAAAGTTTCTTTAGCTACCTCTGTTTTGAAATGAGTTCTGTGCTAAAAGTGGGACTGAAGCTCCAGGAGCATACGTGTACAATCCTGCAATCACAGAGCTAGTCAAAGGCGTCCCATGGCAAATCTGCACATGGTCACTGCTGCGCTAACAGAAAAACACCGTAACCCCTAGCACAGCTGTTCCATGCATTCCCAACCCATACCTGGGTGAACTCCAACCACTGTAATCTCGCTCCTTGGGCCACATCACACATTAAGCTACACTGTGCCTGATGAGAGGCTGTAGTCTGGGTGACTGTGTACAACCCCTGAGCCCTGGCTTCACTTCCCAACCACAGCACAGACTTCTCGTGTCATTAGAGAAAAGCCCTTGAGCAAATTTGTGTCCCAATGTGATCAAGAAACAATACGGAATTAGCTTAATGTAAATGCACTTTCTGCTGGAAATGTAACCTTTATACGCTGTAAAGTTTTACAGTAACACTGGCTAGTGACTTCAGGTATTCCATACCATAGGTTCCTGAGATTGCTGGGGTATCCAGAGTTTATAGTACTGGTTAAACTGATAGAGCTGAGGATACTTAGAAACTTTCAGGGACTGCAGATCTTTATCATAGAGCTGGAACATCAAGCAGAGGGCGAGGGGTTCTCTCTGAGAGTGCAGGAGGTCAGTGAAAACAGCAACAAGATACTCTACGATGTGTGCTCCTAGAAAAGCAAAATAAAAAATTAAATTTCTGTTGAAGTAATCTGCCTGAGCACAGACACTAAGGCAACCCTCTTTCCTTAAGGCCTGGGCAATATGCCATATAGCATCATCTAGGAAAGTACTGAATAGGATTAAAAGGTGTTTGTGATAACCTAGACAGGTGTTCCTGACCACTGAGGTATCTGGCAAAATCCTTCATAAGTAGTCCTTGCTGAAGTAAATAATCACCCCACTTTAAGATAGATGCTCAGGTTGGCCTATTTCATTCCAGATAATCGTAAAACTAACTCCGCCTTTACTGTGTTGTGCTAAACTTTTAGGAATTTTGGTGGATAAGGACCCCAGCCAAGCACCACCTAAGAGGAGAACTGATTTGTACTGGGGGGAACACGCCCAGGTTAACACGCACTGGTTAAATATGGAGGATTTTCTTTCAGAACCGGGACTTTCAGTCCCACCCCTGGTGCTACTCAACAGCCAAATATACAGATGACTTAGTGAGGTGCTGTGGCGTTGGCAAATCCTGCTCTGAGGCCAACTGCTGCCCCTGTGACTCCTCACTCCATCAAATCCTTTCCTCAAGGAGGTGGTAGAACTTTGCAACATTCACCCCTGGAGCTTCATCTCTGAAGAAGTTTTCTTTGGAAAAAAGCATCCATTTTCTATTCAACAGTCCAGTCCTCTCTCCCCTACTGACTGGTCTCAGTGGAAGAGCTGCCTACAGCTTTTGAAGCCACCTTCCTCTCTTGATCTGCATATTCTGTGATTAAAACACTCTGTTAGCACGGACACTGTCTCTGCACTGCTCCTCAGTCCCCTCTACACCGTGCTCAGAGCCCAGGGTCATTCTCCTCCTCTACTTCCCTGCATCTCACACGGGAAAGGTGGGCTCTCTTTTTCTAACCTGGGCAAGTTTGTTTTCCCATAGTAGGAGCTCCCTAGAGTCAAATGGCAGTTTACAGAATGCCTGCATTTCCACCTATTTTCCCTACTCCAGAAACCAAGAACGAGCTTCTTTAGGGTCAGGAAAAAAGGACAGAAGCACCTCCTAAGCTTTAATGCCTCTCTTGAGCAGGCAACACCATGGATCTGCACCTCCTTCTGCTTGCAACAAAGATAATAAAATGTCTTGAGGAGCTCATTGGGTAAGAATGATCCCACTTCCACTCCATTAGCATAGACAATACATAGAAACAAAAAAGTCTGTACCTGTTCCATTTTCAGTCTGAAGCAACAGTGTATTCCTGGCTTCTAATGCAGCAGGGACAACAGCACTAAATGGAAATGTTTGAATAATCATGTCTTCATTTAAAGTGAACCCAATTTCTTCATCTAAGCCATCACTGCCCTCAATTAGGACATCCACCATATCCAGAACATCTATTAAGTGAAGAAAAAATGTAAGCAGAGGATTCAGACTAACTAGAAAACAACGGAGGTAGAATCCAACACTCCAGGAATACAAGGCAGCTTCTGAATTCCCAAAGCAGAAAAAATGATGAAAGACACATTTATCTAGGAATGCAAGGGTAAATGCAACTGTAAAAATCACTGTCTCTTACTGTGTGCTTAACTTTACTTTTTGCCTTTCAACACTGTTGTCCAGCTGGCAGAAGTAAGGGAAGGGAAGAGGTGCATCACCTACTGCTATCAGGATGGCATTAGGTAAGAGCATAACAGTGACAGGAAATGTGTATGGGAAAGTACAAAAGCAGCAGCCACTTCTCCCCATTAAAAGAACATCCTGAGCAGTCCTTGAAAAGCTTCTCAGCTCTGTATGGCCAGAGAACCGAATCTTGGTCATGAAAGAGTCAAAGACAGCTTTAACATATGAAGAAGATACCAAGTATTCCATGGCTGGCATTACATCCCTGTAATACAGTCAACTCAAGGCAACTGATCCATCTGGTACTGAGTGTTAAACTACCTCAATTATCCTACATTTATGTCCTGCAAAATCCTACGCATGGACTGTTATAGCAGAAGAGCTAGCACATAGCAAGTTGTCCAAGTGTCCACATCTGTAGAATTTTTACTTTGTCTCCAGTAGGGCTGTGACTGGTCCCAGAAAGGGGAGGAGCAGCAAAATTCCAGCTGTGTGCCTAGGAGTAAGAAAGTTCCCTGGGCACCCCAGCCCTTTTCTCCTGGATGAACAGGTATGAGCAGCCTCAGGGAGAGGAACTGTAATACTTTGCATTTTAGTTAGGAAACGCTGTTGGAGGAACCTGAAGAGAGATTTAAAATACTGTTAAAATGGCATAACTGCATCAGAAATTACTTTTGGGGGTAAAGCGGTAACTTTGCAATTCAGACTTCTACTTCTGATACTAAACACAACTGGAGGGCTGAATCCTGTAGGTCCTTACTTGAGCAGTTGTTCTATAGTTATCAGTCGCTGTTATCAGTTATAGTTATCAGTTATCGTCTGCAGATTAGGGCTAGAAAATTTGGCACGAAGTCTTGGAATTTTCTGTTGTTGAGGGAATCACCACATACCGTCAATGTGAGAGATGGGGATGCTGACGTTATCAGAGTCTTGTTTAAACATATTAACTTGGAGCATACTGGCTTCCTGAACAAGGTCTGCTGCTTTATCTGTATATGGATAGGGATTTGTCACCAGTTTCAACAGGATCTGTTAACAAAGGTTGAGAGAGAAATTTAAGTGCACAGGCTATTAAGTCTACGAGAACCATATCTTGTTAACAAAGACTATGGTCCAGAAGTGGTTGGAAGCTGGGAAAGTTTTAGGAGTACAACTTCCATATACTTCTGCAGGAATCTGCCTATGATTACTGCTGTACATGGGACACTGGGTCTGGTGGAAAAAGAAATATTTGCTGCAATTTTGCACCCAAAGTGCTACCATAGACTGAGTCCCTGGGGAAACTGCAATGAAAAGGAAGCATGGGCATTTAACATCCTGAAAAGTAAACAGGAAATGACAACTTTTCTTGTAAAAGACTACAATTTACTCAGGTCTGATAATTTTGGCAGGTATTGCCACATAAAGAAAAGAGAAGATAAGAGCTACCCCCCCACACAACACACTACCCTTATATCAACAATGCTGTAATAACAACTTATCTTTCTGGATCTAATTTTCCTCCAAATCATTTCACTGTCCTCCCACCCAAGACAAGAAAGATGTCACCTCTGTATAAAGAATTACAAACACTGCTTTTCTCAGAATTCATTCACTGTTCTTTGACAGGTTTCTCAACAATAGCAACAAAATAATTAGTTTCCACTAATGCTATTCTTGGCATTATTTATCCAGCTAATTTGAACAGTTGTTACCCTTTCCAAAAATTGAATCACTGCTTCCTTTTTGTCTTCTTTTGTATTATCCAAGTGTTCCAGCCAAACTGAAAGTTCCTTCCACGTGTACTCAAACACTCCACTGTCACGTAAAACCTGTCCAGAAAACCAAAGGGGAGGGGTGAAAAAAAAAACCCAACTAAAATACAAAACCCAAAAAAACCACAGATCTTTTTGTATAGCAACTTCATGTTTTCTTTTTCTTGGAAGGAAAAAAAGAAGAGCAGGCTGATGAAAAGACGTATCTGTCATTCTCACCCCCCCAGTTCAAGAAGCCTTATTCCCACTCACCAGGGCCACTCTAACTGCATAACAGAAGGTAAAACTGAATGCATTTTTTAAAACAAAATCTGCCAAGACCGTATCATCTGATCTCAACATAACTAGGGCCAAGGCCTAGTGTCTTCATCACGGCTGTTTTGCTTACTGCTCTCTCAGCCAAAGCAGTGAGAGGTGAGGCATGACTATGTTACAGGTGACAAATGAAACCCGCTGAGCTTTGCCAGACACACACAGGTGCTGTAGGAAAAGGGCAAGAAGCAGTCCTGGGGCAGAGAAAGGAGGGCTTTAAGAATGACCAAAGCAAGAGGCAAAACATGGCTTACTTTCTCACAACTGGGAAAATCAGCTGAGAGCAACTTCTTTCTGCTCCTGTCTTCTCAGAGCCTCTCCTCCTCTCACCTGCTGTCTGTAGCACAAACCCAGCACAACTCCACTTGGTTCCTGCCCTCACACTGACTATGTGTACGGGATGGATCCCATATGCACCCCATTCAAGTATGCTGCAAACATCTATTCACCAGACTGGGCAACGAGCACATGGCGATCTCACTATGAACGTTCATTCCCATGCATGTGGAACACGAGACTTCTACAAGGACCCAGGGTGCAGGAACCTGCTTCAACACATGCCGGGGCAGCATGCACCGTCGTGCTACCTGCAGTGCTGCTCAATGCAGCAGCCTCTCTGCTGCTTCATTGCTCAAGGCCTACAGTGCAGGGACACAAAGGAAGAGAGGCAGCTGCAGCACAGAGCCACAGACAGGGCCAATCCATCTTGCTGGTCCCAGCCTGCAAAAGAGCCTTACGCTGGACAGCTTCAGCAGAGCTAGTGCGTCCCCTGTCCCATCACGCGTCCTGAAACACCACGTGTCCCCTGCAACGGGGGCTAATACAATGCTGTCTCACACGCTGGCAAGGAAGGTCCCCCTAAGACACAGCCAAAGTTAAGAGCCAGGGTAAAGGCTAGCAGGACTTTTGGTCTAACCGCGTCAGTCCTTCTGTTGTCAGCAGTCAGTCAACACAAACCTTGCTGAGGTCAAAGTTGCCTGGGCACAGAGCATTTGTTCCCTCCACCTTAGTAAATCTTAAAATTTCAGGGGAGCTGCTTTAAGGGGGTTGTACATCTTTATACCATTATAACAAGAAAAAAAAAGCGCCATGCCCTTAAAAATAGCCTACAGAAGGGTTTTTGAAAACTACTGATGTAATATAAAGGAAAACCATTGCTAAATTAAATCTAAATCAGGCTACTTATGCTTAAAAGAGTTGGGCAGATGGATAAACAGTCAAATAAACAAGCTGTTGTTCATGACCACAGCAAGGTCCAGGCAGAAGTGCTGGCATACTCATGGTTGCTGTGGGTAGACACAATTCTACTACAGTCAAGTAACAGGCATTAAAATATTTAGAAATTTTTGCCCACTTTCATGCTACCTAAATTCAAGCCCTTAGTCTAAGACACCTAAATTAGGAACTTGGGTGACCCTATGCTCCGTCTGTAAAAGAAAGAAAGGAGGAGGAGGGAGAAGAGGAGGAGGAAGAGGAATGGCTGTCTGAAGGACAATCCAGATGACGGGCGATTTGAACTGCACAGTGGTAGAACCACCTGCCCCTCATTCTCAACAACAGAAGAAACCTTGACCAACTTCATAACTCTGGTATCTACGTTAAATGACTGTAATTATGCAGGATGAATCCGTGCCTTTGTTTCTCCCCACACACAAAATACAAAGGAAGCTACCACAGCTCATTCGCTCTACACTTGCTCTGTGTACACCACGATCAGCTATAAAAATAACACTGCTGCTTACACGAATCTGACAGGACAATTCATTTAAAGAAAGAAAAAAAAAAAAGAAAAAAGGACTCATTTTTAAATAATTAACTATTTTTAGCAGAGATATCTTGAAATAGGAATACACTTGCAGGTCTCATGAAAACAGGCAGGAACAGAATGTGAAATCCAAAAACACGCCTTCCAATTATATGGCACTGTGTTGAAAAATAAGCAAAACACACTCATTAACATCTATTCTTAGCAGCCTTTCTGCTGACATAACTGCCCTAACTTCACTGCTCCTGTATTCTCTTCAGAGAAGATGAAATGGACTGAATCTAAAAGAGGAAACAAGAATGAGTCAGCCAGCCCACATCTCCACTCAGCAAAAGAATTCAAAAACACTACAAAAACTGGACTGGGTAGCTTTTGATTGAGACATTCATTAATGTGAGACAAAGTTAACCTGCCTTTAATCCCTTGCAGGGATCAACGGCAACTAAAACCTAATTCAATCACTGTAACTTTGGTGTAGTGGTTTGGACATTACAATTGCACCCTGTAATTGAAGCTAAATGCAGAAATTAAATGCACAAAGCTGTATACAAACTTGTATGCCACTATTACTACGGGACACTGCACGAGGAGCCCTGTTCAGGACTTAGAACAGCTTTTTGGATTTTCTCTTGGGGGGGACAGCTGTTTGGTTGGGTTTGTTTTTAATGTAGGTCTCTATCCCTACTTAGATAACTAAAAGATGCCCAGTTTTAAAAAGATACTAGAACTGACTGCCGCTGGTGCCCTCATGATACTTGTAGTTGATCAGCACTCCTAAGAAGTCAGATAACTTATTTAAATGCACAGAAGGGGATTTTAATTCATTTTTAAGACAAAAGTACTCCTTGCATCAGAGCTTGCATCAGCTTGTAACAAACAGGACTATTTTGCAAGGCCAGAGCAAACTAGCTAAGGCTTTAGGAAGGCTAGAGTGATGAAGTACAGATTAAATAAACAAGGATAAAAAAGAAACATCAAAAATAATCTCTTCTTGATCAAATTCAAGACCTTTACAGGTACAAACTACATCAGTTTATTACAGTATTGGAATTAATTCAGCCTAGGGGGGGTGGGCAAACATTAAAGATATTTTCCTTACTATTTCATCAACTGCTGCAGCAAATTCAGTGACAGCATTTACTTTCATAGAATATTTGGCTAGTAAGTAGTTATCTTATAGCAATTTCCAAGAACTTTCCCAAGAAAACGGGAAAGATGACTGTTGGCCACACAACTATGCAGTAAAGGTATCTGCTTTAAGAAAAATTTTAGAACACAGAAATTGTAGACCAATGGGATATAGTGAATATCCTGGTATTTCAGACCAAACGAACACTTACCTTGATGATTAGTTTTTTGGTTGAAATTTTCAGATGAGAATGCTTACTTGTAACAAACATTTTCATCAGTAAATAGAATACTGATTTTTCACCAGATACCTTCTCTGTCTCAGAAACATCCTGAAAGAAAAATATATTAAAATTCCCCTGGTACAGCAACACTGTACAGGATTATGTTGCACTGAAGCAGATATGTAATAAAAGTAAATTATTTTATAGACCTGTCCAAAAATACCAAGGCCAGAAATGAATGGGATCATTTATACTACTTTGCATTCAGTGAGCCAGAAAGATGAGTACAATGTTTTTTTGGAAAGTGGAAGAAGAGGAGTAACAGAAACACCAACTAAAACAAGGGTCCAAGATAAAGCCACCTTCCTCCCCAATCATCCATCCCACTTCTATTTCTGTTATCCCCAGGAATTCAGATTTCCTACAAGTGAATAAGAAATATAATAATTCAAGAGACTGATCCCCAAAGAACAGGAAAACACCACAAGTCACAGGGGTGCTGAACGCTATCTGAACATCAAATGACAATCCTTCAGCCACTTCCCCTGCTCTTCTCACTGACTTGCATTTGATGTCTAACAACTGTAACCCTCTGCAACATTGCCAGGTTTGCCTTTTATCTTTTCTATTAAAACCTGTCTAAACTAGAAGGACAAAGCCACAAGAAAATACTTTAGCTTCTTTGCCTGTTTCCAGGTTTTCCTTTGCTTGCTCTTAACTCTCCTCAGTTTTGCTTTATGGCCATCTGGAAAGGACAGAAAATCTCCTACAAGGCAGAGTCACAGTCACAACACCCATGGGTCTCTCTGTTTCCCCCCAAAGCTAGGCCCACTCTTTTCTCCAGACACAAAAAGCAGGCTCTCTACAGCTCTGTTACTTTACATGCCTGCAATAAAGAAAACAGCAGGGGCCTTGAAGGCTTCCCGTAATTATGGAGAGGAAGGACAGCCTTAACAAATGCCAGAATCTTCCCTGCGAATGGGTGGGATGGCTCCCATCAGCAGCTCATTTCCTTGGTCTGAAATCTCAGGCTTTCCAGACAAGTGGAAACCAGCAAATTCTGACTCTTGCCCCTCTCCAAGGACAAGAAGAGCTGAAGGAACTTTGTCCAGCCCTCTTCAGGGAGGCAAAAATTTCTGTCCTGTAGAAAAACTTTTCAGCTTAGAAGGGATTCTTCACTAATGCTCAGACTTCAATTCCTACTGGTTTTACAAAAGGGTCACCTCCTAAAACGACTGGACTGGGACTAGTTTAAAACTAGGCAGTGCCAGATGTAAAGATTTGAGGACAAAGGCCAAAGAAACATAAATCTGCCTTGAAGTCTCTTACCTGTATTCTGAACCAGGCAAATTTATTTGCAGGAAGTTCCAAAGCCACTTTCAGTATATGGTGCTGCAGAACAGGAGGGACCTCCTCTCGGAGGCCCTTTTCAGTGACGATACCTGAGGTTTGAAAACAATACAATCAACTTCATTTTGGTGTACCTTCCTGAGATTTCAAGAACACTAATCATTTAGGGTTTCAAACCACCACTGTGAGATAAGCTGGCAATCCACAAATTTTCATACCATGAGATCCCCAGACACACTATGGTTGTATTTGGCCAATCTAAGGCTGGAATCCAGCCCTCAGCAGGGAGAGTCTAACACCTGCCCCCGGCACAAGCCATCATTGGTGCATGGGAATACAAAATCTCTTCTATCAACTTCAGTAACCCTGAAAAGCTGTCCCCTACAGGAAGTAAAGAGGATGGATAAACTGGAGACCAAAATACAGAATTTAAGTCAATAACAAATCTTAACACTTAGCTATTAGAGTATTTGCTACAGGCAATGCAACTTTACACTTGTGTCTCTCCCTACATCACTTTTATCATCTGCTCACAACGACTGCTTTGGCATAGCCTCAAAATAATTCACAGGTCACACAGCTTTGCAGAGACCCTCGCAGCATGCTCCAAAAATTGACCTGCCCACACTTTAACTGCAGTTGACATACAGAGATCTCTGAACTCTGAACACACACACACACAGATCAGCTGTATAAAGCTTTGGTGTCAGTGTGCTTTTCATAGTCTGTATAGTGTCTTTGTGGTCCACATTAGAGAGAGAACAATAAACTTTAAAAATGTAGCATCACTACGAAGTCTACCCAACAGTAAGACCAAACAATAAAACTCTACCAGCTGTGTAAAGCACATATTGCTACAAGGTAGAGAAACATGCTGCCTTTGGAGTGTATGTTTCAATCAGGGTGAGGGGAAGGAATGACAGAACTCTCAAGCTGGCATCTGAGAGAAGGAAGTTTCATGATTAATTTACACCATCATTTTCTACCATATCATCTTTCATCAAAATTAATATCCAGGCTCACTTCATTACATTTGTTTGAGAATGACACTTTATTTTCCACCCTGTTCAACTTTTTATTTCATACTGTAACAAAATATACCATCAAAGAGATTTCTGCCTCACAAAAAGGTGTCCTGCCTTTTGTCCATTTTGAAAAAAGCAGACCAACACAAGAAATAATGGGATAAACAGGATATGTGATTTGGTGAGTCAACAAGTATACAAACCAATTAAATATGCTTTGACAGAGGGAGGAAAAACCTCACACATGAGACAGTTGATTCAGAGGCGTTTTTTCTTTAAAGCCCCTTTTTTAGGTTAGCAAATGTGATGCCCATCTACAAGAAGGGCTGGAAGGAGGATCTGGGGAACTACAGTCTGACCTCGGTGCCAGGGAAGGTTATGGAGCAGATCACTTTGAGTGCCATCACGTGGCACGTACAGGACAACCAGGCGATCAGGCCCAGTCAGCATGGGTTTATGAAAGGCAGGTCCTGCTTGACCAACCTGATCTCCTTCTATACAAGGTGGCCCGCTTAGTGGATGAGGCAAAGGCTGTG